GAACATTTCAATAACTCAACAAATACAACAGAAGGTACAGATAGACAAAAATTGGAGAAGATTTAAACGGATTTGGATATAGTTTTTTGAAAAAACTGTTAGGCTGAACAGTTTTCAAAGTTAATCTCGCTTGTTTTTAACCTTTAATTAAAACGCCCTGGAGACTTATTTATCTGTAATGAAGTGATGGTTTTGCCATTTAGATCCACGGAAGTAATGTTTTCGCCAACCTTACATTTCACAGCGAGTATTTGACTAACCGTAATAAACTAAACTCAACTGTGACGTGGTCCCTTTTAAGGGACACGCAAAAAAAAAAAACACCAGTCAAAATTACCTGTTATACACGTGACCTATACGCTGCTGTATCGTTCCTACAACAGGGGCACTCCACAGCAACAGGGTGGAAATCCACATCAGCTTGGTAAAGATATCTTCATCATATTCTAGGTCGAACACTTTGCCGTTATACACTCGCCAGTAAATAACAAAGGAGTAGGCATAGATCACCAGTACAAGGGTGGCATTTCTGCGCATGGTCGGGAACGCGAACCAAAGCAGGAAAGTGGGTAATATGATGAGGATCTTCATCCAATTTGGAATTAAATCCAAAAAATTTTGAATAAACCACGGAAGGAACACCAAGCCAAAGAAGACGAAACCGGACGTGGAAATGAAATTGAAAAAGCCTTTTCCTTTAGGAAGAAACCCTGCAAGAAAGCTGCAGATCAGGGCTATGGCCACGGGAATCGCGAACAGAGCAAATTGCTGGTTGATGACAGCAGATGTATAACGTTCCTCCTCGCAGTCCCTTAATTTTATGTTTGGACTGTTTTTCGCAAGTTTTCTGCAAGGCTTAGCACCACCTCTCAGGATTCTTCCAAACAGGAACTCGATCACAAAGGCTAGTGGACATGCGTAGGAAGACCATAGGAGTACAGGGATAATCAAGGCAACGAAGATAGTCATTGTGAACAAAATAATGGCGTCCAGGAGTCCTTGACACGGCTTCTGCCAGTTACAAAAGATTCCGCTTCTGCTGCGCATGTGCTCGAAGAACTGCTTATGCCATTCGGGATCATCTTTCTTTCCATGCCTGTATTTCCAGTCCACATATGACGTGCCTGTGTAACCGCCCCCAGACACGCAGCTCAGGTAATCTATATTGGCTTTCTTCTGCAGAAGCCTGCGCAGGACACCGGAGCATAAGGACGCTGACCGGATACCGCCACCGGAAAACGCCAGGCCAACCCTTGCCATAGTGCGATCACAATGTTCCTTATTTGTGTTTCTACTGGAAGGAAAAATAATTGATAAGGTTGCTTACTCTTGTTCTAACCCTTGAAAGTTGAGGGATAGTACGATGGTACGACAGTTTTCTTTCATTTGCCTATGTCCATTCACCGGTCACCTCCTCTACTTTAAACAAATTTCGAAAAAAAAAAATTAAAGTGAACAGGCAACTTTACAGACTAATTTTCATAGCCGACTGCGACAGCGGAACAGTGCAAACCGATAAAACAGTCCGTAGGAAAAAAAGCACCAGTCACTATGACAAATCTTTTTAAATGCTCCTTTGACTGTTGCAAAGGTGCTTCAGGAGTTAAACTTTTCTGTAATTTTGTAGTACAGGTTTTTAAGCTTTTTTCTTGAGGTGGGATGTTTGCGATTTCACGTTTTCTCTTTCCAAAAGGAAGTTGAACCACATTATTTTTCCGCAATCGCAAGCCGCCAGAGATTAGCTCTAATTTGTTTACCAATTTATTCGTTTGTGCTAACTTATTTATTTATTGAAATCCTCGCCCGTTGACGGGCGTAAAATAATGCAACAGTGGAATATCGCAACAGCTCACCACAATCACACGCAAGTGATGTGGAACAGCGGCCTTAATTAAATACCGACCTATGTCATGTACCATACTTGGAATGTAACTTACAGATTTGAATAGGGTTTTGTGAGTGCGAAATTATACTTAAGGAGAGAAATGAAGGAAACAAAGTCAAGCGAAAAAGGTGAAAATGGGTGAAAAATGGCAAAACTCCAGAAACTAAACACAACATATGCAAATTGCATCACAAAGCGCCGTCACATTCTTTTACGTTAAATTCTCAGTATGTTAATAAAAAAAAAAAAATGCAAAGAATTAGTTTCAATCGCCATTGGCTCTGTTTGTCTTTGTTTTCACTCTGTTTTGTCAAGGCCCACAATAAAAATCTTTTGTTCTATGGGAACACGGCGATAGCGATATCATAGAGTTGTTTCCCGCTTAACGTTCTGGAACGGAGAAAAGGGAGAGCCGTTAACGTTTGTTTACATGACTACTCGACCCTGTTTGTCATGTAATTGTGCCGCAAACTCACACACTTCGCTTTTTATTGCAGCTTCTGCTCGGGGTCAAAAAAGGACTATGGACTGTTAAGACTGATAAATAAAGATGATCTTCCATATATTCACTTGTACTGATAAATAAAATTTACGTTTCTCAGAAAGCGTGAGGTTATGTAAGAGACTGAGTCATTCGGCGTGATATTATACAAAGATTGTGATAGAAAGCTTACGGCCGCATCGTGAACTGCTTGTCTCTACCGACCCTGTTAAAACTAAGCCTGATATCCTGTTAACTTTACCTTACCTTCAGTCCTCTTCCAAAGCAAGTCCAACGACGTTTAATCAGTTGACGTTCTCCGCGTGTTAGAGATTCGCGTCAGTGAGCAATACAAGACGCGTCAAAGGTCACAGTCGACTTCTCTTGACGCTTATTTATATTCAACATTCTTTTAAAAAGCGCATCGGATATGAAGCGACAACTAACGCCCCAAATGTCTCAGCATAAACAAATGATCACGACGCCCACATTTACGTAATACTATGCCAGAGTATATCAATATATAAACCCATTTAGCGACGGAAAAAGTTCTTACAAACTGCTGCCGTATTCATTGCCAGTAGAGGTCGTATAATTGCATTCGAATCACAGCTGCCCTCTTATGCTATAAGAGTATCAAATTTTGCACGACCTTATACGTGCGAGGAAAATATTGAGCTAAAGTGAAATAATATGAGAAAGTGACATACTTACGTAGCTTTTGACGTGTTTCTTAAGAGTTCTATAACTTCAAAGACTACGGGCTATTTTCGAAGTCATAGACGTCATAATTTAAAGTTACAGGTAAATAACACTATTTTGCCTTCCATGTACACACCCTTTGGGCAAGTCACGCAATTTTTCTTGCTGAACATTGGCATTAGGGGAATTCACGAAATTCAGGGAGCCTTGATGTAATTAATACCGTAATACCAAGTCACGTCACGGTTTTAGTGCCTTGAAAAGTTTTTCCTTAGGCGTCGCTTGTAATCCAGTTAATCTTCTTAATCCTCACCCCTCCTTGTTCCTTTGTGGTTTATTATCTCTTTGGTGTTTTGCTATCTTAGTAAACTATCATTTTCCGTTTTTCGGGTTTCTTTCAATTAAAGGTAATTTTGTACATGGTGAAAATATCGCAAAATATCGTGACTAAGCTCTTTTAGAACACGAAATGGCGAAATGGCGAAATGACGAAATGGCACTTACACGACAACGTGGGAAACGGTTGACCCACGCAATTATTGATAGTAACTGCCTTCAAGTCAGTGATGCTAGGGCTAAACTGAGCGCTATTTTCGCAGTGACGTTTAGTCTTTTATTCACGCCATAATACCAACCGGAAACCCTCAGTTCACTTTGGAAGGCAATGATAGATTATCTTATTTATTAGTAAGACAGCAAGTCGATGAAGTCCAGTTGTTGGGCAAAAAAATTACACAAGTCACGACTTTTATTGAGATCTGAGCCACTAACCAGGATTTTGCAAGGGTCATAAAATCCAATTTTATAATTGAGTTTAAACCGAGGTCAGGCATCAGAGTAAACAACATCCGGCTTTACAGTTGTACGCTTTAGTTACCTGGCCTATGAATACGAGCAAGACAGGAGGTGACCTTGCCTCTCTGCTAGCGCATACTCATTTAAATGCCAACTAGTTAGCACAAGAACAACTTGATTTACTTCCAGAAAAGTTGGGTGGGGATTTGCGGCCCTAGTTATGAGCAAAATCTGAGTTTTTTGCTACCCTATTTATGACCTGTCCAAAAATTCGATAGCCGACTTATGACCGTTGCGGCTGACACAGTTGCCCCATACATAAGTTATGAAGGGCTTTTGTTGACAGTTTTATCAATAAAGATGAAAAGGTAGTTTCTTCTAAGAAACTAGACTACGAGTAGTCCCTCTTTCGCTTAGTCCGTCGTGCGTGACGCGAAAGAAAACCGCGAGAAAAAAATGGCCGCG